CAATGTTCATTCTTACTTAAGTGTGTACAGCATGAAATCAACCAGTCATAGGTACAGCAGTCAATGAGAAAGGTGTGAGAACAACGACTCTTCTGAGTGACATTTAAGGCTGGGCAGGGGCTGGCAGCATGGCCAGCTGTCCACGTCAGCACCCCCCTGGCACTGGTCATCTATGTACAAACAGACTAAGAGCATTATCAGTCGGGGGATGGGACGTTGTGGCCCACACATAGTGTGGTTGGGACACCGTGGTTCATAACACAGACTGACTGGTCTGTGTTCTGTGATCGCCTGGCCCGGCCTGGGCGGGATGCTAGAGAGAAGAGAGACAGAAGTGTTATTACCCAGGGCCTGCTGGGTGAGGGCCTGCTGGGTGAGGGCCTGCTGGGCGAGGGCCTGCTGGGTGAGGGCGTGGGTGAGAGTTAATGGTGGATGATGCTCAAAGTGCAGAGGGAGGGGCAGAGATGAGATTACTTTAGAGGAATTTAATGTGTGCCGCCGGGCAGGCATCCCATGGTAAACCAGCTAGTTTGACCATGCTTCACCCATGCTTAGCCAATGCATCACACCTCTTTGTGTAGAATGTCTGTATAAAAGAGGTTGTTTTAAAGGGAAGTCTTACGAGTATGTTCAAACCATGCTTTCATTTAAAGTCCCCTTTAGATGTTGTTGAGGGTTTAATCATCACCATGCTGTGCATTCTGCCATGCATCTTTCAGGCCACTCTGGGTTCAGACTTGATTTCACTCCTGTTTAAGACCATCCCATTCACTTCCTTTGGGTTTCCAAAAAGCTTGGTACACCAGAGGAGAGAAAGGGAGAAATACATTCATATGCATTCAATCCATTCAATGAAATACAGACCCCTCTGACAGGTTTCATACAAAATTTATTTCATGCTAGAGTTGTATTCTTGAACTATTTTTTACCTATTGATTTCATGTTGCATAACATTGTGCATGCAGTTGATTTCCCCCATGTTCTTAATTGCAAACAACGCTTTAAAATATACATATATTTTTGCTGCTTTCATAGTAGCTAAAGGTTGTGAGAGGGAAAGATGGTCAGACACAACCTGACTCAACCAGATTTTCATTTTCTTTCAAAAATAACACTGTTCAAATTATATACTTAGTATGTGAACGTAACAATGGTTCACTATGATAAGTTCTCCATAAATAATTGATTGTATACATCAAGATGTATAGCAGTAGACAGAAACATATATCACTAATTTAGCCTAAATGATTCTTCTCATTAAGATCCAAGATCACAAGCATGCCAACAGAAACAAGGTCAAAAGTTATTTTAGCTTTTCACAACAGAGAGAGCTTGCTGAAATATGTATATTCTCCATCTCTCTACAAGTCTCTAGTTAGGGAATAGTGGTCAATATGACCAGAGCTGCCAGGTAACATGTACTCTGTACCACAAAGAAAAATAGGAAGAAAGGTGAAAAGAAAACACTGTCATTGAACACCTTAATAGTCTGGCTACATAAATTGTATGCAAAAGTGAGGAATCGTTAAAAGAAAAATATATTATTCATATGGATAGTCGTAATAGCTATAGTTTGTTTTTCGTTTTTTGTAGTCCACGATGCAACTCATGCTAAATAAAAAGAGTCAGGTTTAACTGATGGTACCGGGTGACATAAATGCCATTAGCAGTTATTCTTATTGTCCTCTACTTATTGATTTCATTCCACTCCTTTTGGCCATTCAGGCCAAGATGTCAGACCAGTGTTCCTTTGTGATGTGTCTTTCTGTCTTCTTCCAGTTCTTCCTTGAGAAAAAGTTAGTACAAAAACAACAATGAAGAAAAGCAAAAAGGACTTCTTCTATCTTGATTTTCTTCCACGTTTAAGAGAAAACCTGTCCATCAAAGTAAGACAAGTGATCTCACTGTAAGAACCCTCTGTATCTACTGTTTCTCTTCCTCACTGTGAATGTGGCCCTGTCAAGCCCTCCATCCGTGGAATCAAGAAACGTTGGAGAGGGGGATTTCTCCCAAAGCGTTGGTTTCTCCCACTCAGAGTCAGACTGTGGTGCGCCCCCCTCAGGTTACTCTGAGAACTTCTGCCTGCATATACTTAACTAAGACAGTCTCCTCTTTACAGGGATCTGTGGTAGAGAATACAGGGGAGGGTTGGGTTGCTCAGCATCAGCCAGTCATTGGTCATTCTCAAGAGCGTGGATTAATTTGAGAAAAGTAAGACAATTGGGGTGTTTACAGAGACAGATGACCTCTTACAGATGTTTTAAAAAGAAAATAACTTGTTCTGTGGTGATCCAGGAGAAGGAGAGAAAACGAGGGACAAAGATACAGAGAAGTGAAAGAAAGAGACAAGCTGAGAGGACAGCAGAGGAACAGAGTGTCGGGATGTGTGACTGGGCCTACTCTCTGTTGTATCGGAGTTCTGTCCATACACACAACATCCCTGAGGGGGAGCCACCCCAACAGAGAAAGACAGGATTGTAGCTGGATAGGAAGATTGACAGAATAAAAGACAGAAGAGCAGAACGGAAGAAGACGTCAACCAAAAATGGGAAAATTTGACTTCTCTTTGAAGTAGCTACTTTGTGGGTGTTCTAGTGGTGGGAGGAGACATTCTTTACCTTTTAAAAAAGTATTATGAAATAGAATATAAATAAGCAAAAATATATATCTTTACTACTGAATCTATTGATGGTTTGCCTTCAATATTGACATGACTAAGTTCCAATAATTGAAGTGTTGGAGTACTTTACCTACAGTGAATATTTACAGCTGGGTCCTTTTCCTCATTTGGATGGGCAATACAATAGTATTTTTCTCCCATTCATAGGTGTAGGGTTCTATATGAGTTATTCCAGATCTTTCGGAATCTACCTGAGCTGACCTTCTCTTTCCTATGGATCTCAAACTTCCATATTTCAGGTATTAAAGACTCTCTTCCCATTATCAGTTTTGAGAAGGGACAGTTTACAGAGACAGAGAACAAGCAACACAGATAACCACAGAAAAAAGAAGAGAGGGAAGCGAAAAGCTGAAGACAGAGAGCAAGGTTCAGAGGACAGGAATGGGACAGACCGATACAACACGGTGGGACAGGAGCCAGCTGCGGACAGGGTTTCTGTGGGTGGGTAACGGGGAGAGGGGCAGGGGTTTAGAGGGGACCCTAGGAGACCGCCCTGTGCCACTGATCCATGCCTACAGAATGGATAGGATAGTCTGATACAGGACACTAGGTGGGCTGCAGGTCCCTGCAAACACTGACACCACTCCAGTAGGGTATCTGTATGGGACCTCTATCTTTCAAATAATTTCCTTTCACTCTTTTTTCAAACGTTAGAATGTTATTGATCCAACATTGTAGGCCAATTGTACATACATGTATTACCATTCATGCATTCTCTGTTTGATTAAGGTCCCGGAAGCATGCAGAGAGCGGTTTGGGGGGGTGGGTGGGGGTGGGGGGGTTGGGGGTTGAGGCACGGCTCAGAAAGAGAAGGCACATCAATGTATTTTATTGCAGGGTTGAGAGCCCAACAGCCAATCTGGCTCCAGGCACTAACACTTATCTAACACTTATTCAGCTCGGTCAACATCAAGATCATTTTCTGGTTAACAATATCAAATGGAGAAGAGAGACTGACAGTATCCAGTCTGCTTTGTAATACTGTCTATAAGAGTGCTGGCACAGAGCCATATTCAGCTAGACTTCAACATGTATCTACTGCAGTCCAATTATATTGTGATCTTGTTACATAATATTAAGATATGCTGATATTTAAGAACAACAATAGCCTGTCATCTGTTTGTGAAGCAATGACATAAAAATAGTTCTTAGCTGAAGTTAGATCTTGTTGAATTATTATTCATTGTTAGATCAGAGGTAGGACGCTGTTGAAATATCCTGTCTTGCTTCTCACCATGGTTGTCCTATAATGTAACGTCATGTGGCCTCTCTTATTCCTCACCATACTTCACCCCTTACCTCCAATGCCAACCATCAGCTGGACAGGACATGCAGTGTTGAGTTATGAGACAAGTACAACACATGCCAACATGGAGCAACAGAGAAACAGGTTCCCTTTACATTGGCAACGTATACATAGACAATCACACACAGACACACTCGCAGACATACCGTACACACACTCCGAAGCACATTCATAAACACATGACATTGAAAATACAACAGTGAGGGCATGTGTTCTCTTAGCTACTGTTATGTTGTTGATATGTTGTATTTCATGTTAGTGGTCATCCTACTTGATTCATCTTTGAAAAAAAATGAAAAAAAATGTATGCACTCACTAACTGTAAGTCGCTCTGGATAAGAGTGTCTGCTAAATGACTAAAATGTAAACATGTAAATGTAATGGATCAGTCTCATGACGTGGACACAGTGGATTACTGTTGTGTTTGTGTTATGGCTCTTGAGAGTCACTGAACTTGTCCATCCAAAACAGATCATGCTCACGAAGAGCAGTCCACAATGGGACACAGTGGGAATGTGTGACCTTTCGACCAAAAAAAGCTCCACGTGCACTAGAAGAGGAAGGATAAAAAGTATGTGTAAACTGTATACTGTATGGAGGCTGTAACAGGTTCTGTCTTAGCAAGTGTCTTGGAACTTGGCTGGGGAAGATGGCAGGTGAGATTTAGCAATGCTATTAGCCCATGACAACAATATATGGTATTATGTGCTTGTGATTCATCTCCCTACGCTCACAATCAGCTAATTTAAGAAGCTGCGGACGACACTGGCATTATAGTTTCATACTGCAACAAACGTGGAAGCAGCTTCTTCTTCTTCTTCTTTTTCAGAGTTGATTGATCATAGAAGCCTTTGGCTTGCAGTTGTCCTGCCTTTGCCTGGTGTAACTGTAGACTAGAGGATAAGGTGAGGGTCTGATGTTATCATAGAGCATAAGGATATCAAGGATCTCTCGGTGGTGAACAAGGCATTTCTTTGATTGTGCTATTCTTTAGTGTTAGAGGCTGGGGCGTCAGGTTGTGAGTGTGGCATGGCCGTCCTCTTGGCCACATACCCACCCAGCTAGCTGCAGCAGAGGGTAGGCCTGAGGGCCTTGGGGGTCGAGCGGTGGGCATGGGGGCGCCGGCTCTGCCAGTGACCTCCCCTGGGAAGGGCCAGCTACCGGCCAATTAGACACAAGTCAAGGATGGGGGGATGGAGGGAGGAACAAACAGATCAGACAATGAGTGGAGGAAAAACAAAGAAAAACAAACATACGACAAAGAAAAACAGAAAAAGGGAAAGTTAAGGTTGGCCCAGGGGGCAGTGTGATAGTCTCAGTGATGAACAAACCACATGGAGAGGATAGAACAGCCAGAGATGGAGAGGAGGGTTGGCAGGGTAAAGTAAAGAAGAACTTCAAGAAAATCCCAAAACAAAAAAACAAGACCACTGATTAGTGATTTGTTTATATATTTGTTCAGTAACTTATTTCATGCGGAAGTAAATAAACGAAGGTAAGAATAATTCAGATTATTCAGTTTTAATGAAAGAGAGTGAGAAGAGTTGGACAGGGAAAAACGCTAGCGTCCAAATGCCAAATAAGAATGTTGGGGGTGATGCTGTGTCGCTCAACAGTATGTGGGTGGGGGACCTAAAGTTGTTTGTGTTGGAGGCTGTATAGACAAGGATAGTAAGGACAAGACCTACGGTCATATAGGAGATAGCAACAACAAAAATAATCTGTGTGCTCTCTAAAGTGTATTTTTGTGTCACGTTTCAGACTTGTGTGTGTGCAGTTTCTCCTCCCTGAGTACACATGAAAGTATGTTTGTGCTTGAGTCTGAGTGTGTTCCCTGAGGTGTGTTCCCTGAGGTGTGTTCCCTGAGGTGTGTGATCTGAAGTGTGTGCCCTGAAGTGTATGCCCTGAAGTGTGTGCCCTGAGGCAGGTGTGCCCTGAGATTTAAGCCCTGGGATGTGTGCCCTGATGTAAGGCCTGTGTCTACGTGTGTCATATTACGTACCCTTCCTGACTCTGGCCGCCGTGTGGCCTGGCCGCCCTCCCATGGCCAGGAGGAAGCAGGGCTGCTGCTCGGACCGGTCAATAGGGCTTAAGATCTGGCCGTCGTCAGGTGATAGGATCTGGTCTATGTGGGGACAGTCTTCATTGGCCAGCGCTGCTTTTTCTGCCTCCTTGGCTGCCTCCTTGGCTGCCTCCTTGGCTGCCTCCTTGGCTGCCTCCTTGGCTGACTCCTTGGCTAACTCCTTGGCTAACTCCTTTGCTGACTCCTTGGCTGACTCCTTGGACGTTTCCCCGTTCACGTTGGGATCTTGAAAAACAGCTTGTGGAACTGAAACAGAGGGAGAAGAACTTAGTAGTGATTCCTCAATGGTGTGGAAGAGGACGTGTCAGAACCGGCATTTATGTGCAAGCTTGGCTGTTTTTTTTATCAACCAGGTAACACAGATTTGAAGCACAATCGTCAAACTTTTTAAAATGTAAAATCAACATTGACCTTTCCCAACTGCCCCAAATCCCAACCACTGGAACTTCAACTAACAAAAACTCTTTAGACTTGCTGCTCAATTTGGCACAGAATACCTGCTTTCTTTGGTTTCCCAAATCGCTCACTCTCAAAACTAACAAGTTCCTGTCCTGGAAATGTACCACCAATATTTCCAGACATAGCAGTGACTATTTACAGGTCAATAAAACAACCATAGTGCCATACAGTGGTGTAAAGTCCTTAAGTAAAAATACTTTAAAGTAGTTTTTTTGAAATATCTGCACTTTACTTTGCTATTTTTATTACTTCACTACATTCCTAAAGAAAATGCTGTACTTTTTACTCCATACATTTTCCCTGACACCCAAAAGTACTCGTTACATTTTGAATGCTTAGCAGGACAGGAAAATGATCAAATTCACACACTTATCAAGAGAACATCCCTGGTCATCACAAATGTTTTGTTCGTAAATGATGTCTGAGTGTTGGAGTGTGACCCTGGCTATCCGTAAATAAAAAATAAAAAATTGTGCCGTCTGGTTTGCTTAATATAAGGAATTCTAAATTACACTACTCAAAGAAATAAAGGGAACACTAAAATAACACATCCTAGATCTGAATGAATGAAATAATCTTATTAAATACTTTTTTCTTTACATAGTTGAATGTGCTGACAACAAAATCACACAAAAATGATCAATGGAAATCAAATTTATCAACCCATGGAGGTCTGGATTTGGAGTCACCATCAAAATTAAAGTGGAAAACCACACTACAGGCTGATCCAACTTTGATGTAATGTCCTTAAAACAAGTCAAAATGAGGCTCAGTAGTGTGTGTGGCCTCCACGTGCCTGCATGACCTCCCTACAATGCCTGGGCATGCTCCTGATGAGGTGGCGGATGGTCTCCTGAGGGATCTCCTCCCAGACCTGGACTAAAGCATCCGCCAACTCCTGGACAGTCTGTGGTGCAACGTGGCGTTGGTGGATGGAGCGAGACATGATGTCCCAGATGTGCTCAATTGGATTCAAAAGTGACCAAAACATCAGCCAGGAAGCATAGGAACTGAGAAGTTGTCTGTGGTCACCACCTGCAAAACCAGTCCTTTATTGGGGGTGTCTTGCTAATTCCCTATAATTTCCACCTGTTGTCTATTCCATTTGCACAACAGCATGTGAAATTTATTGTCAATCAGTGTTGCTTCCTAAGTGGACAGTTTGATTTCACAGAAGTGTGATTGACTTGGAGTTACATTGTGTTGTTTAAGTGTTCCCTTTATTTTTTTGAACAGTGTATTTGTACTTTTGACACTTAAGTATATTTAAAACCAAATACTTTTAGACTTTTACTCAAGTAGTATTTTACTGGGTGACTTTCACTTTAACTTGAGTCATTTTCTATTAAAGGTATCTTTCCTTTTACTCAAGTATGACAAATTGGGTACTTTTTCCACCACTGGTGCATTACGATTCTTCATCTTCAGTATGGTTAATAAAGGTAGTGGAGTTCACAAACTCTACCTTCTGTACATGACCAACTCCAAACAATCTGAGAGAACTGGAAACACTACCATTTGATCATCCAGGCCTCACATGTCATACCTAATGTGGGCCTTATAAGCATTACATCTCCAAACTGGATCACACAGCCCAGACCACCACTGTCACCTCTGTAGTAAAACATGATTTGTGGGTAACACTTGCAGATATTAGCAATGGTCTCTCTGCTGCTGCATTAATGCTCCACCCCATTACACATGTACAGATATTCATTTGCTCTTGTCAGCGCAGCAGGCAGCAGACAGACCCTAGCCAGCCACACACAGCCATTGTACATGTGACGCAGACCCCCTGGGATGGAGGGAGAGGAAGGAGGGGAGAGAGAGTGGGAGATGAGTCACTTTCTTCGGAATAGTTCAATGAATAAAGACACCATACTCTACGTCCCTCACTCCTTCCCTCCTCCTTCACTTGAATTGCACCCTGTCTGTTCCTCTCTTTCTCCCTATCGACTTTGTCTTTTTTTCATCCCTCTGTTATTTCCCCCCATCCCCTCATTCATCTTCTGGATATCTGTATCCAGGTCATGGGCTCTATTGATTGGCTGTTGGCCTGGTCATCGTGCATGTCTGATGTGATGAAGTGGCATAGGATTTGTCCAGTTGGTGCCTCTTTACGGGAAAGAGAGGGAGGGTAAAGATGACACAGCAGTAATGACCATATCACTGAGATCTGTCCATCACTGGCATTGTGGAGGAAGCATGATGCATTTTGGTCATTTTGGTCAGCCATCACTACAGCCTGAAGCCACCTTACTCTCTACTTTCTACTGTACTAACAACATTTATCGCAGAACCATACTCATCGCCTCTCATTCAAATGTATTGCCACACTGCACAACCACAGAAGAGATATACAGCGTGATACTGTATGTAAGTTAGCAGACCTGGTCCAGAAGTGTGTGTCTGTGTGCACGTGTGGCTAAAAACGGCTCACTGAATTAATGATGACAGACATTTCAGAGGGTGTTTTTTTTTACTGCACTGGCTTGCTTAGTGCTCACTGTCTGGGACTGCACTCCCATTGTCATCCCAATGGCACGTCACTGGGTCAACTCCCCACTGGTCCCTTCATGTGTGTCTGTGTGTTTTGACATTGATTAGTAAAAATAGATGTGTCCATCTGTTTAAACTTCCAACAATAAGCACACACCATATTCAAGTATGTAGCAAAGTAATGGATGTCATAAATAAGCAAGTAGCTACGTTTTGTGCGCGTGCGCGTGCGCGTGTGTGATTGTGTCTGTGTGTGTCGAGCCAGAATGCTCGATCACATCAGCTGCTCAAGGGACCAGTGTTATGAGGAGTACAGTACAGTACTTTAAAAGTTATGTAACCTTTCCCAGCTCTCTTATTCAGAGAAAGTGAGCTCTTTGTAGACTGCTGTAAAGAGTAAATTGATGCATTGCATATTTGGCAATCCTAGCCTATCCCTCATCCTAATCAAACAGCCCATGCCTCTTGTTCAATGACTGGAGGACTCAGACAGAGTTCTCACTCCACGGTAGGCCGTATATAGAGAATGCCAACTTAAGTGCCAGAAGCACAACATTCCACATACATTATTAATTTCCCCCTGAGCTGAACCCAACCCATCTTGATGGCCCATGCTCAGCACGTTCCTGAATGTGTGTATTCATGTTATTACATACTTGGAAGCAGTTGATTACATAAATGTATCCCTTATAGTCACTTTGGAATAATGTCCATGTAATGTAAAGTGTTGCTCTAATGTCTGTGTGTTAAATTACCATTCAGTGACATCATGTACAGTAGATGGATGAGCTGGTCAAATTGTTTTCTGATTGGGTGCTAAATGAGTTTCAGATTGCCTGGTTACTCCATCATTCTGCTCTGCAGCCCAGTGTGAATAATAGGAGAAGCAAGTGAATGGCTGCAGTTCCTGGCAGAACCTGAATCCTATTGTGCAATGTGCGTTGCTTGGACACTGTTGTCATGGCAACATGCATTGGCACGGAAAAAAGATTGGGGGGAATTAAATAAACGAGACATTAAGTAAGAGAGAGGATGGTGGGAAGGTGAAAACAATCATTGTTTTTACCACCTCCAGAGAACGTACATTATGGCAGTGCCTGGTGAAACTCTAACTCTCATTGGTCAAGATCATAGAAGTAATGGGACTTCAGTACATCCTGTATCATATGACTAGAGGAAGTCAGGAAGTCAGGAAGTGTGACCCTTGTTATTGTTTTTCCTCTCTCCTCCAGCAGACAGGTCATTATGTCACCTCTAGTTGTTCTCTCTGCAGGGAGTCAGGTCAGGTGACAAGCCCTGATGGCTCAGCGTGTAGACACCATCTGACATGCTGCAAAGTAAAGGTGCAGATAGAGGTCAAGGTCATCTACAAACAAATAACTATCACTGAATATTTAAGTATCGTTGGAATCTTATCAGTAGAAACACCTTGTAAGTGGGACATCTTGGAAACTCAACTCTCCAGGGAAAACATAGATTATAAAGTTATAAAGGATTCTATTATAAACAGGAGTACAGCCAGCGAGTGAGGGGTGCAGTGTGTTTTGTGTGTGTGTGAGAGAGTGCTCATGACTCAGCAAAGGGCTGTTAGTCATAGACGTAGTGTGTAATGATGCTTGGCCGTAACATGTGGCAGTAAATAAGGAACCATCACCAGATGTACTCATGGCCACTTCAGGCCCTCGTGGCAGGGCATAAATACACACTGATCTCACTACTCACACTACTTCATAGAACCCCATGGAATCAGTTGGGCCCTATCCCTATCATAAGTAGGCGATGTACAGTATATCAGCCTGTGAGGAACTGAGAATCCCCCAAAGCTGCTTGTGCTCACCACAGCTGGCCTGGTCACCAAGCAGAAAAACATGAAAGAGCAACACAGTCATCATCCATCTAAGGGACTTCCTGCAAATTGATAGGTTCTATGAGGGAAACCTCACTCTCTGTTGTCTTTGTCCAACTTCCCCTATGAGTCACACATGTTAAACAGGTCTCCAGGCAACCAGGCTGTCTCTTTTATTGCAGTCATTTATAGAGTGCGATATCACTGGTGCAATGTTAGTTCAAAAAGTTAACTGTGAAATAATGGCATTCGCTGTTAAAAATATATACAGTATCTCACAAAAGTGAGTACACCCCTCACATTTTTGTAAATATTTGAGTGTATCTTTTCATGTGACAACACTGAAGAAATGACACTTTGCTACAATGTAAAGTAGTGAGTGTACAGCTTGTATAACAGTGTAAATTTGCTGTCCCCTCAAAATAACACAACACACAGCC